TTTCGTAGAGTTCGGATTACTGTTTTTCGTTATCTTCCGAAGTTCACAGCGATAAATTTTTATTTCGTGTATGGATACATTATGCGCCGGTTTTAATGGATATAAGTTGGAAAGTTTGCAGTGAATTTAGAACTTGTTTTAGAATATGCTACAGGAAAAAAAGTTAAAAAATAATTTATTTTCGACAATTACCGAGAACTGATCTTTGGATATAATACTTGGATATAAGTGAGAGTATGTATTATAGGCTTACTAATTTATTTGTGCATATAATTATCTAGTCCTAATTTCGAAATATGTTCTTATAGGGTTTATAAGCCTGTTATTTTGACATGTCTACTCTAATAGTGCTATTACGTAGAAATATATCAAAGACGGAATGGAGGATTTTAGAAAAACTTTAAGAATTTGTTTTGTTTATTATAATTAGTNCCCTCCGGGCGGGCCTCCGACTCCCGGAAGCCACGGGCGGGGGGCGAGGGCGCCGATTCCCGCCGGGCGTCCCCCGGGAGAGTCGGGGCTTCCGGCGTCCGCGTCGACGCGTAGTTGGTTCGGTAGGATTCTCCCTGCCAAGAAAAAAAAACGGAAAGGTAAGTCACCGGTGTCTCGACCCAGTCCCGGTCTTAAGGACGGTGGGACGGAGTAAAGAAAGGAAGGCGGTGGTTACTTCCAGTCGGAGGGACACCCTAACTAGGAGAAAGAAGCCGCGCAGGCGCCGAGCGTTTTCTCGGTCTCCTCGACTTGTACCGACGGAGAAAAGCACCTTTGCGCGGAAGGTACCGGTAAAGCGGGAGGAGGGGAGGGAATAGGAGAGACGTTTGGCGGGAGTGCCGCCCGAGGGAGAGGGAGGAGAAAAGCGCAAAAATAAGGACGGGCCGACGGCCACGGAGTAAAGTTATCCGGCCGGCGATATAAATAGTCGGGCGTCGAAAGTAAATTTTCCGACGTCAACGACTCTACTCCGAGGTAACCGCGCGGTATTAATAATTCCCGAAAGTGGAGAAAGGCGAGAAGCGCTCCGCCGTCGTCGGCATAATTCGTTCATTATTGAAAGTAATTATTACGGCAGACGTTAACGTTAATATTGTTTACCGAAGAAAGGCGGAAGTAAATGCTCCGTTTCATAAATTATTTTCCGGACAAAACGCCGCCTAACCAGAAACTACCGTTTTACGTTCTTTTTTTGCATCGGTCGGAACGTACCGGACCACTTTTAGACGTTACGTAATGGCAAGCGCCAGCCAATCTTCTCCAAACTGGCAATTGGCTCCGCTCTTAAAATTTCCATCTCCGTCGCTAAGAAATTCATTTAATTAATTAAGAAAACGGTGGTAAAACAAATACAGTAGATCCCCCTATAAAACCGTTTCCTATAGTTATGATTCCTATAAAAATTGTGGCATTATCCGTAAACAACGGTAAAAATAACTCCTATAATACGTAAAACGTCATCGGGCAGCCGAACTACTTACCCGCCGTCCGTAGCGCCACGCTACGGAGAGATTTCTATCGTCTGGACAGTATTATATAAATTATATATAAATTAGGTACTGTACATATAATTATATATTAATTATATATAAATTAGGTACTGTATATATAATTATATATTAACTTAATTTATTGTAACTTTATTATAATTAAATATATATTTTTCGCCGTCTAGCGTCACGCTACGGCGAGTTAGGCGACCTATCGTCTGTTTAGTACTGTAATTTTATACATTTCTTGTGAAAGAAACATTTCTTATTTAACGGCCATAAAAATTATTTATATTAATGATGTCTCCAAAGGTCAACGAAGTTTTAGCAGAAAAATAATATCAGAAATAGCGGCCGCAATTTGATGCGCTGTTCCGCGACGAAACCAAGCTTTAGCAACGAGCGTAGTCAAAGGGTACACACTCGGTAAGTAATCCTACAATTTTTTGTTTATAACGTAGTTTATACGGATTATTTTCAAAAAAATATACGTATTTTGGAAATGTTGAGTCGAATTAGTCTAGAATCGATTAATTTTATGAAAGAAAACCTTTCAAACAGCCGTAGTCCGTAAACTATGATTCCTACAAAATTGATTCATAAAGGACGGAACGTATCTACCGTCTTATAGGGGGATCTACTGTAAATTAAAAAATAAAAACCAATGAATTTGTTAACGCAAACAAAGTGTTATTAATGGGCAAAGAAAGGAAACGTTATTAATGCCGCGATTCGCATAATTTCGCGGCGTTGTCGAGTTTTCTGCCGCGATTCGCATAATTTCGCGGCGTTGTCGGGTTTTCTGTCGCGATTCGCGAAATTTCGCGGCGTTGTTGGGTTCCATGTCGCGTTGTACAGAATTTCGCGGCGTTGTCGAGCTATATGCCGCGATTGGCAAAATTTCGCGGCGTTGTCGGGTTTTATGCCGCGATTCGCAAAATTTCGCGGCGTTGTCGGGTTCCATGCCGCGATTTGCAAAATTTCGCGGCGTTGTTGGGTTCCATGTCGCGTTGTACAGAATTTCGCGGCGTTGTCGAGCTATATGCCGCGATTTGCAAAATTTCGCGGCGTTGTCGGGTTTTATGCCGCGATTCGCAAAATTTCGCGGCGTTGTCGGGTTCCATGCCGCGATTCGCAAAATTTCGCGGCGTTGTCGATTTTAATGCCGCGATTCGCATAATTTCGCGGCGTTGTCGGGTTTTCTGCCGCGATTCGCGAAATTTCGCGGCGTTGTTGGGTTCCATGTCGGTTCCGCAAAAATTCGCGGCGTTGTCAAGTTACATGCCGCGTTTCGCTAAATTTCGCGGCGTTGTTGGGCTCCATGCCGAGTTTCGCTAAATTTCGCGGCGTTGTCGGGCTCCATGCCGCGTTTCGCTTAATTTCGCGGCGTTGTCGGGTTGAATGTCGCATTTTGCGAAATTTCGCGGCGTTGTCGAGTTTCATGTTGCGTTCTGCGCAAAATTTTTCGACATTGATTATGTGATTATATACGTGCAAATTTGTATATTTTAAGTTTTTATATACGTGCAAATTCGCATATTTCAAATATATATAATATTCGTTTTACTTTAAAACGCAATCAGCAAAATTTTGCAAAATAATTAAGCTGATATATACGTCAAAAATCGCTTATTTAAAAAATTTATTATATTAGCTTGACTATAGAACGCAATTTCCGACATCTAGTGGCATTATTAAGAAACTTCTTTTCTTTCAGTTGCATACTACCAAAAAGTGTAAATTGACTATTTAACGAAACGATTTAGTGTTTGAGAGTTAGTAGCGTTTATTGTCGGCGCTTTTTGAAAAATTTTAAATAATTGTTTTATTTTTTGCGAGTAATTGCTTAATTCTTGTTTTTACTTTATTTTATTTCGTATACGCCGACTATTCGCTGCCATTTTTTTTATGTATTTTACTTATAAAAAAAATATTATTATTGTTTTTTAATGATATTAATCGTTTTTGTACTTATTAAATAAAAAATAAAAAAATAATAATAATGCCGCGAATTTTCGCGAATTTCGTCGTAAAATAAAACTTTTTCAATATATTTACGAAATATGCGATTATACACGTTCATGTAAAATTAATAATGCCGCGAGATGTCGCAAATTGCGTTTTATAGTCAAGCTAATATAATAAATTTTATAAATATTCGATTTTTTACGTATATTTCAGCTTAATTATTTTGCAAAATATAGCTGATTTGCGTTATAAGGTAAAACGAATATTATATATATTTAAAATATGCGTATTTGCACGTATATAATAACTTAATCAATGTCGAAAAATTTCGCGCAAAACGCAGCATGGAACTTGACAACGCCGCGAAATTTTGCGAATCGCGGGATGGAGCCTAACAACGCCGCGAAATATAGCGAAACGCGGCATGGAACCCGACAACGCCGCGAAATTTTAAATAATTGTTTTATTTTTTGCATTAGTTGCTTAATTTTTTCTTTTTTAAAATACTGGTTACGAAGCTCAATTGTTTCTGTATTTAACAAAGCAAACCGCGTCGTTATCAAGCCGAGTTTACATTAATTAAAACTACGTGATTTACGACTAGGTGTCAACCCAGACGAGTCAAATGGCGTAGGGTGCGGTGTGCGTTTTGAACCGATTCGTATTAAATATATACAAAGTTCTATAAATGCTTACGATATGTTTACTTTTTTGTCACATGCTTATAATAATTAAATTTTGATTACTAATTAATGATTATTACGTGAGTAAAAAGAATTACGCTGCTTAACTCTATGCAATCAAATAATTATGCCCGTCTTATCTAGTCGTGTACACGTATTTATAAGTTTATAAACGATTTAACGGCAAGGAAATGAACCGAAATCTTAATTTTTAAAAATATTTTTATTAAAACAAAAAATTAAAAAAATACAAATGAAGATTTTCAATTACATACAAATAAATCACGATATACAAAGATTCGTAACAATTCTTACATATAAATATTTCGATATATATACAAATTATATGTACTGTACAAGCAAACACATTAACAATACTTTTATTATATTACTAATTTCTAAAAATTTAATTTGATAATAATGAATTAGATTCTGCTATATATATATATATGAGATTATTCGTCATACGTTACCCAAGTTTACAGAATAATTAAACAAATTACCATTAAACATTCACAGAATAAATTCTGCATTACACCTGTAAATTCGGTATAGAAATAAACGTGTAAAAACCAATGCCTCACCTTTAGAATTACTTGATTCCGATAAATTCGAATCGTCACGGGAAGTACCGGCTATCGATGGCTCCGACATTGAAGGTTNTAATAATAATGAATTAGATTATGCTAATATATATATATATATATAAAAGATTATTCGTCATACGTTACCCAAGTTTACAAAATAATTAAACAAATTACCATTAAGGAATCACAGAATAAATTCTGCATTAGATCTGTAAATTCGGTATAGAAATAAACGTGTAAAAACAAATTCCTCACCTTTAGAATTATTTGATTCCGATAAATTAGTCGAGATGGATTATCGGAGGACTTTCGATTATTCCGACTTCGTCCTTGGTCGATTTGGGTATTTTATTATCCGCAAACGACGTGAAAGATTTTTCTTCCCGGTACGAGGATAAAAGTTGGGGTTCTGACGACTTAACTTTAGAGGGAATCTCGACCGATTCACTGGAGCTTCTCTTCCTCCGTTTTATTTCCCTCGATAGCGAAGTACCGGCTAACGATGGCTCCGACATTGAAGGTTCTTCACGAGGATCGTCGGGAACGCTTTGGTTTAAACCGGTTTGACTGGACGTCGCTGGAGGTTCTATAAAAACGTTAACATTTAAAATAATGTATAAAATGAATTTATTTATGAAATAAATCAGTTACCAGTATCGAAACTTGCAGACGAATATTGAAGAGAAAAATCCCTAGTTGCAGAATTTTCGGACAATCGATCGTTATCATCTGTCCTTACATCGCTTATTTTAATTTCATTCGAAATAGGTGTAGATGTGGATGCTATAACGAATGTCGATGGGTCGGACGTAGTTGTTGAAACAAGATTCTGCAACGATATCGGCACGGATGGAGCTTCAAATTCGAAATGTTCACTTTCATTTTCCTGAAAATATAAAGTATATTAACCAAAATTGTTATGTAATTATATTAGCTTCGTATTACGTTTTTAATCTATAAATTTTCGAAATACGAAGACATTTAAATAACAATTTACGAAATAAAATGATATATGCTCACCTGTACGATCTCGATCTCATCGTCGTCTTCGAGATAGATTATCGGGGTATTTTCGATTATTTCGACTTCGTCCTGGGTCGATTCGGGTATTTTATTATCTGCAAACGACGTAAAAGATTTTTTTTTTCGGTACCGAGATAAAAGTGGAGGTTCTAACGGCTTAACTGTAGAGGGAATCTCAACCACGTCATCCGATTCACTTGAACTTCTCTTCCTCCTCCGTTTTCTTTTCCTCGGTAGCGAAGTACAAACTTCGACAGATTCATTTGCCATTTCTTCCGGAGCTTCTTCGGATTGAATTAAACCTTTTATTTTCAGCGCTTCTGCAGTCTTTAAAAGTCTAGCAAGTTGACTTCTCGGGATATTAATTTCGCCGTTATAAATAAAATCCAGAATCATTTTCAGATCGGAATACTTCGTATCGATTAGGACAATAACGGGATATTGATTCGGATTATCCATAAAAATATTTTTAAAGAATGGACTACTCGCGCTCAGTATCAATCTGTGCGCTTTCATTATTTTTCCTTCGCAAGATAGAGTGACGTCCGTCAAACCTTCCGTAGTCAATAACTGCTTGAAACTAGACACAAGATCTTTCTCGTGATTATTCCACGTAAATTGAAACGATTGACTTCCCATATTTGATACCTACGGTCTAAATATATAAATTTTAAAATATTATTTTTACTTCTCGTTTTAAAATTAGATTAAAAATAATTATAATTGAAATGTGGCTTACCAAAATTCTATNATAACTGTCGAGAATTGAAGTTAATTTATAACCGTCTTCATTTTCTGATTGGTCATAAACGGCAGATTCTAATACTCCGATTGGACGATTAATGCTATTGGACGGTTTGAACGTTTTTAGAACATTAGGCAACGCCTCATAACGGAAAATCCGTAACGGATAACGTTAACGAATCTAATATTCAAATTCTAACGGCTATAAAATTAAATTTAATTAAAATTGTTTTTAAATTTTTAATAGGCAAAAATTTCGATTATTCATTTTTTAAATTAATTATAATGTGCAACACAAAGGAGTTTTTGCCAAACTTTCCAAAGGGGATCGGGCCGAGCCCACGGTATTTTAATATCAATCGATACATGTAAAGTTTAAAACATTCTGCGAATATACACTGCCGGCCATTAAAATTACTACACCAGGAAGGAAAGCGAAGATCAGAATCATGTTTACAGTATAATTGAGGAAAACACGATTAAATTGGCGTGTAATCTTGAGGTATGGAGCACTCGGCATATTGTAGTATTTTTGGGGCAAATTTCTTATTTGTTGCCTACCGCCTTTACGTTATAGCAATTTTAATGTTGAGCAGTGTAAAAACGCTATGTTAGGTATACAAAATTGTAAATTCGAAAGAACTTATGATCTAACTTTAAAAAAAATGTTTTTTCGATAGTATTTTAATTATTTTCGAATTCCTCACAATTTCCGTTTGTACCCAAAATTTGAAGACAAGTGTTAATTTGTTTTTTTCTCGTTCAGTTGTCATAGAAGACTGAAAACAATTAAACTTTTTTTGATTCTCGTTTTTAAATTATATTCGAAATTGCAAGTCTTTTTATGTTTACTTTTTATCTTGAAAATTTGCTCAAGTATATATATTTGAGTAAAGATTTTAAATCACTCTGCCAGGAATAGGACCACAACTCACCTCTGTTGTCAGTATTTTATTTCGACAGAAATTGAATATGAACGAGAAACAAAATAACTAACGTAACTTATTATTTCTGTTCGTAAAATAAACGAAGAATAAAGATAACAATTTGATAAAATTATATCTTTTTACGTCTTTTATCTTGTAATTGATTTCGGAAGATAATTTGCAATTATTGCTTCACGTTTGAAGCTGTGAGGATACTTTCTCTTCGTTACAAGTTCTAAATGTCAAATGTTTTCGGTGATGCGCTAATGGAGTACCAACGAATAATGGACAAAACACATAAAAGTATTTGAAGATTCCTTTAAAACTGATGTTTTGAATAAATTAATTCGTGTATTTTGTTTCAGACAGAAGATATTCTTGCAGCATTTCTTCTGACTGAAAATTGGAATGATACAGAAACAAAATATGAAAAGTTCGTTTTCAAATTTGATTTACGAGTGCAATACTCGTTTTGAAGTCAAGTTGACCAGGAAGATCTTATGAAACCGGAATGTCATCTGTTACCCTAAACTCTTCATTTGCAACGAATCTAACTTTATCAAAACTTTCCAGTTTTTTAAAAGTTTTTATTACAAAGGCCTATATCTGAGTCTAACAACAGTAAATCTTACGACTGATCATTATCTATGTAAACTTAATGATGCTGTATTAGATGTTTGTACCGAAGATTAGCTACAAGTAATAATTGAATCACTTGTTAAACATCATTGCATTTTATTATAATTTGATTACTATCATAAAACACTTTATTACAACAATAAACGGAAAATTCATATTTATAAAATTTGTAAACTATATTTTGGAAATTATATAAAAAAATTGTTTTAACAGTGATATACTCAGCAATGTCTATAAAACTTGCAAAATTAATTTTAGAACTTAATCGCCAGTTAAAGCTAGAAATTTATTAACATTAATCAAGCATTTCTATACTCAATAATGCCCAGAAAGTATTTGAGATATACAAAAATTTTACCTATAGAATATGAGAAATATATTTGTATTTAAGCACAAGAATTTAAAAAAAATTAAAAATTAATAAAAAAATTTTAATTTTGTCACAAGAATATTTTTTCTTACAGCAATCGCGAGAAAGACAGAACGAAGAAGTGAAACCCGCCAACACACTGCTATTATTAAGAGAAGGAGGATTGAGGAGAAGAACATTGGAAATGTTTGAGGCTGACAAACTTCCCTTTCATTCAGATGAACCTTCTTCTAAACAATAATTGATAAGTAAATGGAAAAAAAGACAAACTAATAAGAAGATTAACCGAAAAATTTCAAAATACATTTTTTAACCAAATTTTCGAAATAATTTATACTACTTGTGCTTAACCCTGGGTTAGTGCAGTGGGGTGTTTCGCCACCCCCAACGTTTTAAAAGTTGCACTATTCATAGATTTCGCAAAAAATATTTGTATCCTCTTCAGTAGCTTCATGGTTTTATGTATAGAGCATGCTCAGAAATTACTACGATGCTGCAGAAATTCCAGTAAGAGAAAAACAACAGTTCTCAGTGGGGTGTCCAAACACCCCACAGTATNCGGAATATCTTACTGTTCACGAGAAATTACAATAAAAGAGAGAAAATTATAATAAATATGAAATTTGAGACGGCCATCTATCGACATACATCGAATTTAAACTTCCCGCCATCATCTGATTGGTTAAAAAATTTAGTATTCCTAATTGGCTCACATCATAGAAAATTGGGCGTGACTTCTGTAAATGACGCAACCGCTAGAGCTCCGATGCAACCCGGAAAAGCCGACAATATACGTCATCAGTCTAACGGTCCTTGTCTGACCTAGTTTTTACGAAATAAACATTAGAGTAAAACGTAGTAAGACGTAGTAAATTATAGTAAAACGGTCTTCTCTAATATTCGCAGTACTTTGTAAAGTTTGAATTTCAATTAAATAAATACTATTTAGTTCGTAAACATTAAAAATACATCATTAAGTAGAAAAATAACATAAAACTTTATTTTTTAGTATAATACAATTTACAAAGTCAAAAGTACCTATATAGTAACATTACGGAAAAACTAGAGCGAAACAAAGTCAACTAATTTAAATAAATTCAGTTCATTATATAACTGTCGATACGCTTGCCTTCATCAGTTTCCTAAACAAAATTCGAAAACTTCAATTAATCCTGTAAATATTTTATACGCCATTACTATTCGAATGGCATAACATTACATCAATCCTCAATTTTACATATATTTGTAATTACAGTTACAAATTAAATAAAAAATATATTAGGTATAAACTCTAAACCGTAATAATCAAAACAAAATTGTTAAAGTATAAATTTTTCAAATATTTTCTGATCGAGTAATACGCGATGCTTTTTTCATATTAGTCTAGTCATATTCTACGAATACTTTCTATATTCACATCTATTTAGATTCATCTAATTACACTTAAAATGTAAAAATAATCTACCAACAAATTAATTTCCTAATAAATAGAGTACTTGCTAATTGAACTTGTATTCTTCTTTCACGTTGTTTTACGAAATAGCACTAAATCGGTAAAAATTCTAACTTACAGGCTTATAAACACTAAAAAAACATAAATGTTTCGAAATTAAGACTAGATAATTATATGCACAAATAAATTAGTAAGCCTATAATACATACTCTCACTTATATCCAAGTATTATATCCAAAGATCAGTTCTCGATAATTGTCGATAATAAATTATTTTTTAACTTTTCTTCCTGTAGCATATTCTGAAACAAGTTCTAAATTCACAACAGAATTTCCACCTTTTATCCACTAAAAACAGCGCATCCAACAGTGTATCCATACACGAAATAAAAATTTATCGCAGTGAACTTCGGAAGATAACGAAAAACAGTAAACTGAACTCTACGAAATCTGGCGCCAACTGATGAATATGGGATAAACTGAAAATACTCCTCACGTGACCAAAGGATAAATTTTTCTGAATAAACGCTAAAAGTTTTGAAAAATTCTTCCATGAAACTCGATGAATTTAATTAATACACAATATCTATATATGTTTAATAAATATTAGTAATTTACCATTATAATTATGCAAATTACATATAAAAAAATCACTGCGCAAAATCTCCCGCGAACCATTGGATGATGCTCACGTCACGTGGAATTGAAACTTTCCTGCTAAACACTAAAAATTTTATATAATTATTTTATTATTTCACTCAGATTTAAATAATATAAAATGTCTACATTTGTTTAATAAAGATTAGTAATGCACAATCACAAATATGCAAATTAGATGGGAAACAGATGGCTGCTGAAATCTCCCGCCAAGTTGATAAATATAGAACGATCACGTGACCAAAAGAAAACACCGAGAATTATAAAAAAATATGTTTATAATTTAAGGTTTGGGTACAAATTAATCAAATTTAACAAATGTCATCGTTTAAAATTTAATGTTTTGTACAAATTAGTAAATTGTAACAAGTTTCATCAAAGACAAGAGAATAATTTTCAGCTTACATAAACTGTACAATAAATGATTATTTCTTCGAAAGAAGTCGATATATACGAATAAATAATAATTACTTAATAATGTTTTATCCATTTTAAGTCGTTATTCTAAAAGTTAAGCTATTTAGTTCGTGTTTGGCTTTAATATAAGTGTTTCCGAGTATTTTTCTGTAAAATTCAATTTATTCAACAGAAACAAAGATAAGATATTAAATATAAACAGCACAATACAATAATTTTTACGTAAATTGAGTGTAAATACAGAAAAAAACGAATTATATCAAAGATGCGACGAATAAGCTGACATCTCTCCAACACAGCGTATAATTCATAGGCAAATTTTTGCTTGGTTTCGACTGTTTTTTGTAGATAAAAAGTTAATGTTTTATGATAAAAGTACGTATTCTTAGTGAAAGAAGGTTAAAGTATCAAAATATAATATTCAATCGTAAAAA